AAACTTTTTTTGTTGAGATCAATAGTGATACTTAACAAAAGGTCTTCCTAGATATGTCCTTATGGATATAAACTTGGTACATGCCTCTATCATTGATAAAAGAATTAGCTCGTTTGCTCGAGCCGTAATGGAGATATTCAATTTTTTCTCGGTAAAGTGACTTATGCGCCACCCTGTATTTTACGTGCTTACAGAAAACAACAACAGAATAACACTTGTTTTCGTCGTTTTCTTGACCTATATTATAGAAAATAAATAGTCGCTTTTCACTTATGTTGAAGAATCTGCCACATTTTACCTAATTTTTCTTTTGATGTGAATTAGTGCAATAGATGATGTTTGACAAATGATTTTCATGAATCTAACTACTAAGTATTAATTCTACTTATATAATTTTAGTATAAGACAAATACTATTGTGTTTCATAGCATTCTGAATTTTCTCATTAATAAAAATATTTTGAAAAAGCAAAGTAAAAACGACAATAAAAAAAAATCTTTTTTAACCAAAACATTCTCTCAATTACGTGAAATTACTCCACATTGAACCACAATTCATATTGTAATCTTCATAAATAAGAACTATGATGATTTAACATATAACAATTGGCGCCATTTTCAAAATAAGTATTAATTATGTTGTCTGACTTTCAATTTTTTCACTAGATACCTACATATGTTTCATTAGAATACAATTGGTTTTGCAGTAATTAAAACAAGCACAAAGATGCATGAAAAAACCCGATTTTATGTACTGCTTCTACTTCTCGATAAATATACTCATCTAAATAATTTATATATTGCTTTCAGTCATTGAAATACTCTTCCTGATATATCGATGTACTTTGTGCCATTTGTTTATTGAAAAGCACAAAGTAGTGACTTTATTTTTTACTCGTATAACTCTAGCTAACATTTATGTCAAAGATATATTACTAGTCAACAAATGAAGACATTGTCAGGTTTTGACTTATGACCAGAAGTTCGTGACTATATCTTACTACGCAACAAGAATTCTAAGTGTTATTTGAATTATTCATCTTATGAAGTTATATGATCAGATTAAAAAACGATGTCCTAATATTGTTAAACGACATTAGAAAAATTAAAGATAGATTCTAAAAAAGAAAATTTTGAAAACTATCAAATCACATATTAATAATATTTATCCAGAGGGTTAAAAAATGAAAATTTTAATGCCTGAAAAATGATTGATAGAACCTATACAAATAAAATTCAATTATTATTTCTATTTAGAGATGTACAGAGAAGCTTTTTTTTTTTCGTACGCTTTACCTTGATTGATAAAAATTTTCAAACTCTTAACCTACTCTATCTTGCAAGGTAAGATAGAGTCACCCGGCAACTTTCTATTTCAATTATCACTTAAAATCGATTACATTAAATTAACCTATTGTATAAGAAGAATAATCATGAAATTTTAAGTTGACATCGAACAAATATCTGATGGCTACTATTTAACAATGAACCATTGACATACATCTTTTTTCTTTTTTTTTTCTTTGATAAAACAATATTTACCTAGGTAGACTATTTGTTAGAATATTTGATTAACTATCATCCTATTTGAGATTTAATATTTTCTTTTTACTTATATCTTAATTAATTCAAGACAATTTTTGATAAACTTAATACGAAAGTATAAATTTCTGAATAACATAATTTTCTTTCTTAATCATCTCATTTAAATTCTTAAGAAAATAATTATGTATCAAATATATTTTCGTGTAATTGTACATATTATTGAGATTAACCTTTTACTAAAAATAAATTTCTTTATGAGTCAAGATCAAAATACAAAATAGAATTCTTTTTTATTATAATGTTGTAAATAGAGATGATGACGATGAACAATAAGAAAAAAAAAATTGCTTCAAAGGGTAAGAATGCAGCAAGAGAAGAAAAAAAATCAAGCAATAGAGCAGGTTAGAATGGAATGTTTTATGTGTATCAAATATCTACATGTCGACATATGAAAAAAAAAAGAGAAAAAAAAACAAAACAAAACAAAAATCCGTTTTTGATTTTCACAAAGTTGTCGGTTGTGATGCATACATAGTTGAATGATGATAATAATCTGATGATGATGATGGAACAAAAGCTGTTTGTGGTAATTGTGATGCATAATAAGCATTTAATGCTGCTGGATTATCACTAAAACCTTGATGCATAATAAGTGTATTTATAGCAAATGGTGAATAACTTGGAAATGTATGTGGATCAAATGACATTTGATTAAAATCACACTGTTCTTGTTTAAGTTGTTTAACATCAACATTTGTTGTTGATGATGAAATTTGTAAATTACGAGTATCGGGTGATTCTAATGATTGTTGTTGTTGTTGTTGTTGCATATAAATAGATCTTTGTTGTTGTTGTTGTTGTATAAGTAATAATTGATCATCACATGATTTATCAGATGCTGACGAAATTGGACTTCGTTGTCCACTACCTGTTGATGCTGTTGATTTATCTAGACTATTATTTATACCATGACGTCGATTATTATTATTCGAATCACGATTATGTTCAAGACGTTTATTACCTACAAGAAAAGAAATAATAATTTCTTTTTACTAGGAAATAAGTCATCGGCGGGCCACCATTGGGGCAAGGTGGGGCAGTTGCCCCACCCAGAATTTTTATTCTCATAGATGCGATTTGCTCATTTTTTTTCCTAGAGCTGATATAGACATTTTAATAATTTTTGCCCCACCAAAAACAATTACCCTGGCCCGCCGATGAAATAAGTCGAAATATTTTGAGATCAACAAGGAAAAATAACTATAAAATATTAGAGAAAAAACGAAGATTTTTTTTCAAAATTGGAGACTCGTTCAGAACACCAGAGAAAAAAAAATAAGAAAAATAATAATTACATTTAAAACGTTTTTGTCGTCGAAGATAACATCCATTTTCAAACATATTTGTTGCTTCTTGATGTAAAGCCCAATAAGAACCTTTACCTGGTCTATAAGAATAAAAATAGAAAAAGAAAAAAAACAAAATTTTTTTTCAAACAATTTACCTATCAGGACTTCGTGGTACTTTAACAAAACAATCATTAAAACTTAATGAATGACGAATAGAATTTTGCCATCGTTGTTGATTTTGACGATAATATGGAAATGAATCCATAATAAATTGATAAATTTCAGATAAAGTACACATATGATTTGCTGATAATTGTATTGCCATTGTAATTAATGATATATAACTAAAATTTCAAAGAATAGATATATTATTATTATTATTATTAAAATTATTCATATACCTATATGGTGGTTTAGCACATGCATTAAAATTTCTTCTATAACTTGCACTAGTTGTTAATGTTGTAGAAGGATTTATCATTGACTGTTGTTGACCATTAGTTATGACTGATGTTAAACTGTTACTTGTTTTATCATTTATTTGTTCATTTTGATAACGTGCTTGAAGAATATTTGATGAATTAGTTTGTTGTTGTTGTTGATTACCATAAACAAGTGATAAAGATGTTGGTGAAATTGATTGAACATTATTATTGACTAGTTGTTGATGATGATGTGATGTTGGTATAAGTGAATATTGACCAACATTATTTCCATATGATGATTGTTGATAACAACAATTTGTTTGATAATTGCCTGATGGTTTTGATGATGATGATGACATGGAACTGTAAGTATAATAAAAAAAAAAATCTTTTTTGTCAATAAAATTATTTATATTAGTTTTGTTAATATGTACTTTATAGTCTATTCTCTGTTCTCTCTTACTTTGTTTTAATTTTTCTTGAAAAAGAAAAAAAAAAGTCTTTCTATGTATACGATACGTGTGTACACGCGCGTGTATTATGTTTGTGCGTTACAAATAAATGGAAACAATATTTGCTTCGTGCGTTGTCGTTTTTTTTTTTCTTTTTTTGCTCGAATAATATTGGTTCCTATGTAGATTTTACATCTGTCGGACGGAAGAAGAGAGAGAAGAAAAAAAAAAAAAAGTTAATGTAGTCTAGTTATTAATTTAACAGAGAGAGAGAGAGAATGAAGCTTTTTTTTTCTCTTTTTCTCCGTTTTTTTACGACCTTCATCCAATCGTAATGGTGTTTTTTTTTATTGACCAATCGTATTCTTTTTTTATGTTCTTAAAATAATCATAAACGAATCAAAATTAATAGAATATTGAGTTAAAAAAAAAAAAAAAAGATCCTTTGGGAAAAAACAATGATGAGTAGATTAATTGAAAACGATGTGATCATAGTTGAAGTAGGAGAAAATGAATTTATTATATACTTGACAAAAATGTAATGTGTATAAGTGGCAATAAATTCTTCTTCAAATTTTCAAGTAACTGTGATAATAGTATTTGTTTATTTTATATTCTCGTTTTTTTTTTTGTAAAGCGGATCTTCAATAAAATAATTATTATTATTATTTTTTTTTTTTGAGATGACCCTGACATGATTTGCATGTAAACGAATAAATCCTTTTGATAAACATTGTCATAGAGCGTGATAGCTTCGATGTTTGCCATATCTCTAACAAGAATGTATATATATATATATTGTATGAGGGGCGATGGTCATCTTCACTCTATGCGTGAGCAAATTGAATAAATATAGAAGTAGTCGTCGTCGTTGTCTCTAATCCCGCCTTGACGTGTGTATGTGTATATATATCGGTAGGTTGAAAAAAAAAAACGGACGGACTACTACATTGTTTTGTTCCACTTCCGTTTCTCTTTTTACGTTTGAATGCAAATTGAGGAAGAAGCTCTGAATACCTTGAATAATCACGTTCAAACATTTTATTGGATTATGAAAATATGTGAAACTACGAAGATTAATTTTTAAATATAATCATATAGGTGTGACAGAAATATATATATTATTATTAGATATGGTTAAACTCTCACCTGCATGTTTTTTTTTTCTCGTTTTGATAGATTGATCAAAATTTTCATATATGTTAAGTTTGATTTGATATATAAATACAAAATATGTTCAAAATGAACCTGAATATTGTATATACATGGTGTAGTTTTACTTTTCTTTTTCTTTCTCATCGTTGTTATTCTCTCTATGTCTTTTTTTTTTTTTTTCTTTTTATTATTCTCATTTCAAAAGTAAATTTAAGTTATAAGAGAACGAAAGAATAATGTATGTTCAGTATACGTGAATCATGTGAAAGTTAATTTAAAACACTTGTATTTAATATAATATTTGTTGATTTTTGAATAACAAAATTACAAAATCTAAATTAAAAAATAATCTAAATTATGATTATTCATCATCACTTATATTTAACAATATATGTAAGACAAAAAAACAAATCCTCTACGATTATTAAAGATAAATATATGTCGTATTCGAACAAAAGTAATTTGAGAATCAAGAAAAAAAAAAAAAAAAGAAGAAAATTTTTCACTTTTATTCAAATTTTTTTCTTCTTCTTCTATACCATTAAATGAAGTTGAACGAATGACTTGATTAGAAGTATTTGTAAGATTTCATTGTACGTGACAAAATTTCAAATCAGAATGAGTGAAATTATTGTTAAAGAACATAAAAAGAGATCTTTTTCTTTTTCTTTTAATGTTATGTTTCACTTGTCAATATTTGTTTATCTATTAGTTATTTTAGTTTTTTGATGAACATCAAAAACCAAAAAAAAAGAAAGAAAGCTCTTAAAAAAGCATAATTATAACTGAACGGCTAATTCTTGAGAAAATCAATAATATCAAGTCCTAAGAATAATATTCTATTTGATCAAAGAACTATTCGAATATAGAAAAAAAAGTGTTGATGATGATGATGATGATGAGTCTCGTCTAAGTGAGAACAAACATTCTTTGGTAAAGTGATTCAATGCTTTTTTTTTCGTTATACATCTCAATCATTTTTGATCATCTGCCGACAACAAACAAGTGCCTTTTTGTTTTTCAATATAAACTGTAAAAATGCTAGCGGAATATTGATTAATGTTCAAAAAAAAGAAAATCCTATTTAAATGTACGAGAACATTTACCATATGGTTTTTTTCTTCTCTCGTCTATTTTAAGAATGTACATATAGAAAGAAGTTTGTTCATTAAAAATAACTAAGAATAAACTATGGTCACACCTTATCATCATGCGTCAATTTTAGATCGTGACGATAGAAGAAGAAGAAGAAGAAGAAGTTGGTTCAGACGTTTGTTCAGAGCAAACAAAACATTCATTGTCTACTCTTTTTCAAGATAAAGCAAGTTCCGTTTGTCGCATTCAATTGATCGATCAATTGTATTGCATGAAAAAAAGATGATTAAAATTTACATTTGATTTCCTTTTTATGCTAACATTACAAATAAATACAAAAGACCGATTCATTCGATTTTTCTTTTTTATATACTTACTTAAAGATCCATTTATGTAATACATGTAATCGGATCATAAACCTTCATATGTTCGAGAGAAGAAGTAATTGATATCTAAAATGAAGGTTTCATATGAGACTTGCCGTCGGTCAATATTTGTTTTTCGTGTTCTCTACCTTCACTTCTGCATAGATTAATACGCTCAAAATAGAAATAGATAGGTAACTTTAATCAAATATCGATAGGAACGATAGCATATAAAACCATCTGTTCATTAAATCAAATATCAAGTTAACAGAGAAAAGAATTTCATTTTTCTCAATGTCTAATTTATGTTCATATATGTAAAATAATGATATTTGTTGTTAAACATTGTTAAAACATGATTCTTTCAATGAGAAATAATGTGTGTGTGCGTGTAGGATGTGGATTTTTCTTTACACATACTTAAATATCTACATAGAGGACAAAAAATTATTTAGCTTAGGAAAAAGTTCAGTACGAAGACTATTGACTATTTGAACAAATATATCTATTTGTTCGAGTGATAAAGATGTCATTGGTGATGACGGAAGAAGAACAAGATTTGTTGATTTTTCTGATAATGATTTAATTAAAGTATTTGCTGAAGGCACAGATGGTGTTCGATGTTCTAAAAGAATAGAAACAAAAAACCATTCATTTATTCATTTATTTGTTTTTCAAACTTTGATTTGATATTGATAATACAGAAGAATATTTCATTGTTGAATTACATGATGGAAGTAATTCAGAATTTAATATTGATTTTTTTGATGAATAAATACAAGTAGATTGTAGTAATGGTTTAACTAAATTTAAAAAAGTATTTATCTATAAAATTAGAGTTTAGAAAGAAAAAATGTATTTTAATACATATTTAACAAATAGAAATAAATGATTTCAGTTGTCAAGTAGACAAGGAAATTACCAATTCCCAGGAATTTCCGGCCATTACTGCTTACGTCATTATGTCTGTTTTTTTTTTCTTTTTTTCTTATCTCAAGTATTAGTAAGACAAATTTTACGAAATGTGATAATTTTAGTTATAGAACTTTAAAAATTATATCTTTTTTTCATGTCAGGATGATTTTTTTTGTGGATATATAACGCAAACATAGTTTTTAAGGTTCTTTTACATATTAAATTCTACAAATAAAATAGGAAACAAATTTTGTTTACAAATAATAGCTCATATTGAATTATTTTGCTTGTCTAATTAATGGTTTAATCAGAAAAATTCTGTAGTTGGTGTTTATAAGAGAACATCTCTATTTGTCAAATCATTTTTTATTCGAGACTATTACCATTCGATCAGTTTTGTTGAATAATAAAAAAGTAGATGACTGATCCAATTTCATCCACAGAAATGTCTTTGAGTTACCAAGAACTTTTCAAAGTTTAAACTAGGACAAAAATATTTTTATCAAGATATCAGTTTGTCATGAAAATATCCTTGTTTTGAACTACAATCCAAAAGAGGTGTTTATTTAAAATATAAATATCTCAATACGAATGCTTTCGTTCTGACTTAAACTTTAGAGAGTTTTTAATAATTATAAAGCTTTACTGTAAAGGAAATTTCAACTCAAAATATCGGTATTCACGTTCTCAGAACTTTAGCACTACTCACCAAGATCAATCGAATGAGTAATAGTCTCAGATAAAAAGTAATTTGAGAGTTGAAGACGTTTTCTTGACCAGAGCCAACGCATTGATTTTTTAAAATTATTAGTCATCTATCAAAATGAATTTGATAAACGGCTTTAAGCTAATCTTTCAGTGAGGTCGAAAATATAATTCAAGAAATTTTTATCAACATTATATATTAAAATTCTTTCAGACCATATTTAAAGAGTTCTATCGATGATTTGAAAACCCATCGAAGCAATAATCTGTCCTGGATTGTAGAGCATGCATATGAATTCACGTAGGTTCTTCTTTGTGTCACTAAGAATTATTTTTATCTATGTGATTTTTACAAATTCCATTAAAATACCAAGTACTTTTTTCATACTTAAGACCTCCCCCCCTCCCCTCAGAAAGTCCATTTTTTCGGAAGAAGCTCAAAGTGAAGTTTTTACTACAGGAAGATGCAGCGAAATTTCCTCTTTCAGAATCTGCATAGCTTTTCCCAAAAAAGTCAAATTTTAACAGACTTTCAAAGCAAACTCTGACTTAACTATCTCATTTCTTAAAAAATTTTTCCAGTTTGAAGAAAATTTTTTTTTTATTTATTTATCTTACCATTGAATAAACCGTTCTGTTTATTTAAATACGACCAATGGCAGTAGTTTATATCATTAATTATGCGCTTTATAAAATTTCACAGACATATATTGTAAAAAATGCTGTGTAAATACGGTTTTCTTCCGGTTTGGAACGAAAAAATCGATTTCTAAACTTATTGATCGTTTTTCTCAAAATATGGCTTTCAGGAAGGAAAATTGAAATAACTTCACTTTGGTTTGAGGTATACCCAATATTAAACTGGGATTTACTGTCGTTGAATCACTATTTTTTATGCTGGTTTTAATACATGTCTACTAAAATACTCATAAAAAATGAATAGAAGGGAATTTAAAAATTCTGGTTGATAAAAAGTTGCATTCAGAGGTTAGCTTCAATTTAAAATCAACCCGAGCTTCGTATCTTTTGCAATGACGAAGCTATAAGGATTCTCCGGAAGGTCAATAATCAGCTATGAATCACCAGAAACTCAGGTCTAGTTTGTTCTAGAGAGCTGAAATTTTTATCAGAAGTGTATCTCACTAGGGCTACTCATTCCTGAAAATTTTAGCCCAAACGAACCATTTTAAGTGGGAGCTCGTTTGTGAGGGGTGGAGGGATCCTTAAGTATGTGTCTGACTATGCCAGGGCTGATAGTATTGAGATTTGAACAAAATATTTTGTGATTATGTGTCGAACATTGGCACCACTCAGCCATGGCGACTCGAGTATACTTGTCAAAGAAGCTGATTTTTTTTGTTAATAAAAAATAAATGTTTCGCTTGAAATGACTTATTCATTAAATCAATTCTTCATCAAAACTTTTATAACCATTAGTAGCTATAAGTCTAAAAATTCAGTGTGCACAAAAAAAAAGTATAGTTTCTTTTTCAAGATTATTCAAAAAGTTAATTCAAATAGATCGAAGAATATTCTTTTTCTGAATATAAATTAATATATACTAACCATTACTTGTCAATTTAAGTGGCATAATAGACGAACTCATTGTTGAAATAGTTCGTAAAAAACATATACGTTCAAAACCACTTAACCAAACACTATCCGTTGATATAACATCATATAAACAACGTAAAAATCGATAACGTACATCATAATCTGTTCCAAAATGACTAGTTACATATTTAAATAAAACTTGTTCTTGTGTTAATGAATCTCTAAAATCAATAAAAAATCTTGAACACATATAACGTTGTAAATCTTTCATTTGTGTTTGATTTGTTGGACGAAAACCTCTTGCAAATAAATCACAATATTTTAAAAGACCACCACCACGTAATTCTTCAGGTGCTTTAACATCTATTAAACGATAATGTAAATGTTGTAAAGCTTCAGAAAAATTTCCATAACTGGATAGAACAATTATTGTTGGAAAATTAATTGAATTTAAATGAAATTTTCTTGTTAAATAAAAAAAATTTAATAATGGATCAAGCAATATTTGAAATGAATCAACTGAAAATTGATATTGTCTTTTCATATGTTCAACAAATTTCTAAAATTTAATAAAGAAAAAATTTATTTAATAGGTGGTTTCTTTTTTTGTATCATTCTAATTTACTAATTCTAAATTTCGACCATCAACATTTCGTAATGATATTAAACCCCAACGATCATGTTCATTTATAATACGTATCATTTTATCTGTATAAATTTCTGTACATAAATGTTGATTTTCATGATTTGGTAATGGTAATGAATCAAATACGGCTTGTTTTATATTTGACCAATTTAATTCTGTTGTAACATCATTTACAGATATCAAAAAATCTAAATCACGAAAAGCTAAATCACCTGTTGGATCAAGTACAAATGATGCAGCACCACCACTTAATTTTATATCATGTAAATCTAAACCTCGTTGTTGTGCTTCATTTTTTAATCGTATTAAAAATATTGATGGTATAACAGTTAATGTCGGTAATGTAGTTTTACTACTAATTAATATAGGTGAATCAATTAATGAAAAAAGACGTTTTGTTTGAGATAGATTAAGTATTGAACTATTGTAATCAAAATCAATTTGTTGTTCAAAAGAAAATGATTGCAATGATAATAGAGATTTTGATATATAAGAATTATCAATATGTGATGAATATCGAATGATATTATTCATTGTTTATTAATTATTTATAATATTATTTGTAAATATTGCATACTTCAACTTTAATAATAGTAAAATTTAGTTGCTTATTCGATAATAAATAGATTCCGAAATAGGATTATAAATTGTCTTTTTTTTCTAACATTTCGACCAAAGCAGGCGCCAATAAGTATAGAAGCATGATTAACTTTTTCTTTGTTGTTTTTTTTTTTAAATCTACATATGTTTTGTTTGAAAAATTGCAGAAAACATTATGTCCATTGTTTTATTAATGATGATTGTCATATTACAACTAATGTAATATTATTGAACAAATAATTTAAAATTTACTGGTTAACTAAATTTCAAATAAGCGATGTTTCATAAATCTGGAGACTTGATAAAAATAGTTTATATAATAAACAGGAACTAATTTCTTACTAAATGTATCTGCAGAGGACGAAGATTAAAACCCTCGTAAACAGTCGAGTACTCTGTAAAAAAAAATGGGGGATCATACAGAACGTTTGTTCTACTTTCAGCAATGGTTCGATTTTGACAGAAAAAAACAGTCTATGCGCATACATTATGTCTAGTTCTACTGAGTTAATCAAGGCTACATTGAAAATCTGGCTATGCGATGTAATTCAATTTTGATCTTTTGACAGCCAGACTACGTATTAAACACTCTTCCATACTCAGATCGAAAAAAGTACCATCGTAACCGGTCGTATACTACGAAAAACGCCAAAAGACGATCGTCGTGTATGATCATATTTAGTTGTAAGTTGAATTGCACTTATCGAGTACATAGACTTTTCCTTTTGAATTCGGCAATAAATATAATGATAAGTATTTCTATACGAAGATAATCTTTTTATTTAGATCAATTTGAACAATACATTTTACAGTAAGTAGTTTTAAAAACAGTTTCACGTTTTTCACCGAGAATCGGAAGTGCAGGAGTTCGCTTTTCAGAAATTACGAAATTTTATTATTTATCTTCCAAATTTTACTTTCTGAAAAACTCAAGAGCCAAGATAATACTTTTTTTTGTTAGTGTATCATCTCTCTTTACTGTTGAGAGAATTTTTAATAGAGAAGAAATAGTTCATTTTCTAAGATTATGCTTATCATTGAATTGATTGCTTCAAATTCGATCAGATTGCTTAATCAGAGTCAAGAGTTTTAATGAAATTAGTAAAATTTAAAAACTGAACTGTATCCAGCCGCTCGCATGAGACTAATGATCTAGATCAACTGTATCATCTCTTAATAAACTGCACAAAGAAAAAATGCAATAAGTTCCAAAAAAAGATGTCAAATTATGTACTGCATACAAATAGAAGAAGTCAGTAATTGTTATGAGAGAAAGAGATAATTGACACTATCATGCAAAGAATATATGACTGATTGAGTGAATCAAGAAAAAGAGCGAGATAGTTAACTGAAATAATAAGGATGAAAAAAATAAAACTAATCAGCGAGGAGAAAAAGAAAAAATACATTTCAACGTGTTTATAAACGGTTAAATCATATAAATCATTTTTGTTGACTTGAAATATTCTCTCAAAATGATGATGTGATAATAATTAAAATTATTGAGAACCAGAGTATTCAATGCACTATATGATCCTAAAGAGTTGACAGCTCAGGAAAACTTGAAACATATTGTCAATAGAGGTCACACCAAAAAACTTACAAAAGCGTGATTTCTTATTTCAATCTTTCCATAATGAAATTCTTCTTTCACTCGTCGAAAAATAAATAAAAGTTACTATTCATGTGATTGGTCAAAAATATCATTTGATGAAAATTGTACGAATTCAGTTTTTAACACGTAGGCAACCAATGTAGCAGAGAAAAACAAGATAGTTACGCTTCAATAGTCTTTGTTCACTAAAAACAAGTTATTTTTTTGTTTATGACGTGCGTCCGAAGTAAGTGTAGCTACTTTGTTCTTATGTTATTAGTAAGCTAGCTTTTGTGTTTTAACGTTATTAAACAGTAGTATATAATAATTTTGCATTTATTCTTTATCACTGTTTAATCATATAATGTTCCACAACCTAGTACTTCTACACGATATGCAAATCCCTTATCCGCACACTTGTCCTATCGCACAAGAAAATCACTATGTGGATGAGGACGAAGCATATCCAGTAGAATTATACACAACTTTCGTCACTTATTCATGCAGAAACGAAAACGAAGCATGTTAACAGTTCTAAGAAGCGTTGACTGTCAAATACATCAACTACATCTTTGCATTTAAACTAATTTCAAGAAATGAATTCGTGTAAATGCGTTGAATTGCATTAAAAAACAGGAAAACAGTGAGTGATTGTTAAACATAATAATATCCGTTCAGTAAAATGCGTGTAGAAATATGTTTTCTTAGTTGATCTTTATGCGTTAATATGCGTTTCAGCCATTGCACCGAGGGAGAGACATAATACTTCGCACTTCACGTTCCTTAAGATAGTTCAAGGTCCTTCAGCTTACTTTAAGGTATTTTATCGTATTTCACTGTACCTCATCGTACTTTAATGCACTTCACCTTTTTATTATCGTACGTAGAGCCACCTTACCGTTCTTCATCGTACTTTAATGCACTTCACCTTTTTATTATCGTACGTAGAGCTACCTTATCGTTCTTCATCGTACTTTTAGGTATGATGATTTTGTTTTGCTATACGTAGAGGTACTTCAGCGTACATTAAGGTTCTTTAAAATACTTTAATATTCTTCAAATACTTAAGCATACTTTAATGAAATTCGAGGCACTTCAATACACTTTCTTCTACTTTTTCATCTTCTAGGTTAAACTTTCTACTGGCATCGAAATTACACTAACCGAATAGAAGCTATATAATCAGCAGGCATAAAAAATAGTACCCTACTGAAGTCTCTAACCAAACCGTTCAACAATATGAAAACAATTTATACTAGTTTCCAACAATTTCTTTTTCTTTTTATCACTGATAATCATCGACCAAAAATATAATCTTTATGTAACAACCCAGCATTCCTGGCCTAACAAAACTAGGACAGAGCAGTTACGTACGGTTCCAGCTACCAAGTAACGAGTTTACTGAAAAATTTATTATCCTAATTTCTTGATAGGGGGAAGAGTATTTCCGAGACATAATCTTTTCTTATAAAGTTTCATCGAAGATGATCGGGTGGGAGGATATGAATCTGTACTTTGAGAAACTGATCACAGATTCCGATTCGTTCGTCCTGATAGAATTTAGTCAAACTTTATGAAAAATCATTATCTATCTACTACACGTGTTTCCTGTCGAAAAATTTTAGTGATGAATTTTAAGAGATAGTTCATGAGAAGACTACAGAATTAATGCACTGGTCAAAATTTGAATTTTTAATCTTTTATGTACATTCGAAAAGCCATTATCTAAAACCATCAAATCCAATTATGCAGCTTATTTGAATGTTTTATTGTAAAGTTAGCCTAGAGCAACTTCCTAGCTTTACCTATCTAGTATCTAGAAAATTTTTTTTTTTTTTTTTTTATTTACGCTACTCCAACGAAAGAGCTGGTGCCTAGGAAAGGCCTATCAGTACAAAAAATTTTTCGATCTTACAACAAGAGATAAAATAAAAAGGGGAAGAAGAACAAATAAGAGGAGCGAGACATAAGAGAATGAATGATAAAATACAATAAGAGAGAAAAAGTAGAAACGACTGAGAGAGAAAGGAATGTAACAACAGATAGACTTGCATACCAAATAAGAGATGACTGAAAGAGAGGAATAGAAATACGATATAACAACAGTTACATAAACACGATTAAAGAAAACACGTTCGTGGAGAGAAACATAATTAGAATGTTTCAGGATAAGCTTTTAGCAATTCGATATCATCATAGAGGATCTGTGCTATCGTGTCAGGATGAGGATTATCATCAAACCAGGATAGGCACTTTTGCAAGACCGATTCATGGTCGACAAATCTTCTCGATCGACGGAGCCACTTTACTCTCTGCCTGCCACTAAGCCAGCTTATTCTATGTGAATTAAGGATCAGCTGTTCTATAAGCAGATCACCATCTATAGAGGAGTGAAGTGCTCTTAAATATTTAATCCAATATCGCGAACATCTATTTTCGAGAGAGACTTCATTCAGGGCGAATGCGAAAAAGAAATTTGGCCAATGTTGTAAATGTAGTACTCGTTTAAGGCAGGTGTAATAGAATTTTGATAAGAATGACCGCTGACATTCAGAGAAAAGAGGAAAAATAGCGAAAAGCCACGTAAAGATTGGTAGTACATAAGAAGAGAATAGTACCCTGCGCAAGTCTCTAGAAGTTGAACCATGAATGCGACAGGAATTAATCATACCTATTCTTTGTCGTATTTTCAGAACGGATTTATTGATCATAGTGGACCACCCCAGTTTGGGACTAATCCAATAACCAAGGTATTTAAAAGAAGTACACCACTTGATTGGGTGATTACCACACAGTAGATTAAATTTTGGACCCTCATGTACACCCCATGCTCTGACCGACCAGAGAGTTTCTGTTTTATCATAGTTGATAGGTTGTACTGAGAGCAGTGAGTAATACTCTAGGTTCTCAAAGAAGACCTTAAGTTTGCGTTCGAGATCTAAACATTGGTTCATATATTTCGTGCCTATGTGGCCAGCCATCGTTGCTGCCAAGTCATCCGCAAAGTAAAAGGATGTACATTTTTGCAACAGAAGATCCATGTCTGAATGATATGTAATAAAAATAGATGGGGTAAGGCTAGACCCTTGCGGCCCGCCACGTTCTATCGGAAACCAATTGGATCTGATACCACCGATTTCAACGAAACCTCTTCTCCCTACTAGCCATGCATAGATCCATTGTACGAACGCTTTAGGGATACCTAAACGACTCAATTTACCAATACATCCTTCAAACCATAATTGGTCGAAGGCTTGTTTGTAGTCAACAAAAACTGTTACCACCGGAGAGCTGTTCGACATTAAGGACGAAATCTGTTCTATGAGTAACAGTACTCTGGTTTGCAGCCTAAAGTTGGATCTGAAACCCGACTGTGTGTCGGGGAGAACACCACGTCTGTTTAAGATATCCAGGAATCTGGTGAGAAATAATCTTTCAATTAATTTAAGGAAGATATCCAAAAGTGAAATGGGCCTTGTGTTAGCTACTGAGCAAATTGCCTCTTTCTTGGCGAGTAAAATAATACGTACATCTTTCCAGAGGGAAGGAAAAACAAATGAGGAGAAGGACAGATTGAACAGTTGGACAAATAACATCCAATATTGTGGAGGAAGAAATTTTAACATGAAAGTAGAGAGACCGTGTGCATCACAGGAGAGCTTTTTATCCCGAGAAGCTACAACTTTAATGACTTCCTCGAATGTAACTGAAGGTATAGATTCGTCATCATTATCCCAAACAACAGGCGGCGCATCTACATACGGGTGAGGACGGACTACAATAGGAGCTGAGTAAAGCTGTTTATAATGTTCAGCTGCAATGTCAACCATTTTCGTACTCTCACGAACTATTTCTCCTGTAGGAAGAATAAAAGCGTGCAGTGATGAAGAAGCTGGTTTAAAAAAACGTTTTGTTTTCGACCAGAAAGCTACTGACGTTTGAGACGATGAATAGCGCATAGCCAGGCCTTTTCTCAGTTGGTTTGAGACAAACTGATTTATCTCCTTCTTGGTTTCTCTTTTCCACATCAAGGCAGATCTTCTCAATTCAATATCTCCAGTTCTCCTCGCTCGAAGAGAAAGTGTTCGACAGTGAACAAGACGAGCGCGAATTGTATTTGGTAGAGCTACCCGGTATTTATTGAGCGGAAAATACACTGTACATCTAGCAATTAACAATGATAAAAAAAGAACGTAATCTTTATAAACTTCATCAATACAACTCATATTCCATTGTGCTTGCCAGAAAGGAAAGACGAAAGATAGGAACGACGAGAAGACCTTCCAGTGAACATTTTTTCCTGTAGCTAGTTCCTTCCTGTTAGATGACAGTATACTAAGAATTGGTTTATGATCACTTGTCGTGCCACCTTCGTATGTCTGTATACTTATGGGCACGCCGCTTGTGAGAGCGTAATCAATTGTACGACCAGCATCGGTTCTCAGCGATGTAAAAGAGTCAGGTAGATAGGGCATTAAGTTACAATTATCCGCCCATTGCAGTAAAATTTCACTTCTCTTCTTGTCCTCATTCAAATCCACATTAAAATCGCCCATTAGGACGCATTTTGTGGAGATTAGCTGGGTAAGGTCTGTCCAGCTCCACTTTTTACTCTCCGGAGCATAGATACCAACCACTCTAATTTTTTCTTCTAATTCAATATCAACCGCACAGACATTCGGCAAGTTACAATCATATCTTTTTGCTTTAAGACCTTTCCTGATCATCACTATGACTCCACCAAAACTATTCTCACCCTTTTGGTAGTAGATCGAACTATTCGGGAATAATTTGTTTAGCCATGAAAGTTCAAATGCTCCGGTTTCAACCAATATGATGATATCGAATTTGAAGGTATATGCAAGTAGCTGAACCTCATTCCATCTATGCTTAAGACCACGAACGTTAAAGGATAGACAATGAAGTGAGTTAAAAGAGGAAACCGTATCTGCACGAACAAATTTTTTCCATCCAGAAAAACACGAAGAAAGAGTACACGAACTTTCCCATTCGGCTAGAATACTTTTAAATAATAAAAAATCAAAGGGCGAGAGGTTGTTTTTAGCACAATCTAAGAAAAACGACCTATAAGTTAATTTAGCTGATGGGGTACAAGAAAAAAAAGGAGTTGAAAGAGGAGATAGATTCATTAAAAATGTAGTCTTTTGTCACGATAGGCTTGGAGTTGGTTCTTCCAAACACCACTTCTCGATTCGAAATCAACATTTGAAGCCCTACCCTCTTTGACGTTCATCACCGATAACATTGACATAATATCGTCCATAGCAGGGAGAATTAGTTTATCTATAACATTTGTTTGATTAAATAATACACCATCGTGACGTGAAATTCCGTGTTGTACAGATCTAATTACATTGTTAATTTTCAAGTCGAATTTTTGTTTAGCATTTATCCAATCTTCAATTTGTTCAGTACGTTTAACAAGATCACCAATAGTAACATTAATATTGTTGATTGAATTAAGTATCTGATCCAGTTTGGTCATAATTCCATTTTGTTCACCTACTGGCATTTTATAACCATTAATAGTTGATTTAGTTGGACGTGGTAAAGGAGGAAATTCAGATATTGAGGTGAACATATTATTGCACCTATAATTATTGAACGACTTGTTGGACGATGATAAGAGAATTTTGGTTAAATCAGCCCTATGTTGCTTGACCACCTTACATTTCATATCGTTTGAATGATGATCACCACCACAATGTAAACATTTAGCAATACCAGAACAATTATGTTTATTAATATCAGGACAACGTTCACTACATACTTTACATGTATCATCTGTTTGCTTGCATTGTTTGCGAAAGTGCCCAACACCGAAACATTTTGTACAAATAAGAATAGTTGCTTGTGGTAAATATTCTTTAACATCATATTTAACATAATTAATGACCAAATGACCATTGGATAGAATTTCATCACGTGTTTTTGAAGAGCTAAATTCGACTTTGACAATTTTAGTATCGTATTGATCTTTATTTTTTAATCGAATAACTTTAAGCACATTATCATAATTGTTTCTTAATTCATTTTCAAAATCAGTAAAATCAATTTTATAACTAACATTTGTAATAATTACCGCCAGTTGTGGTGGAATTGATGGTTGTTTATCAATGGTAAATGTTTCATTAAATAATCGATCAGGCCATTTGATGTCCGAATAAAGAAAAGAAAAAGATGAACTATTTTTAACAAAAATCAAGAGATTACATTCATTAGAATTACATCTAATTGACGACGTTCTAAATCCAACTAAATCGAGATCGAAAGAAAAATTTATTTTACTGTAATTTAATAATTCTTCAATAGCTGCTTTATCATTAATTTTTCCAGCATTGAATTTAAGAATAAAAGGAGGAAATGGATAACGAGATGTTGCAAAACGTTGTGCTTCATTTGTAATTGCAGATGTACCAGAGTGTGTATTTGAATTTGTATTTGTATTTGAATTTTTATTTGATTGAATATAATAATCATGTGAACGTGATTGATAACAAGCTGGTGAATCATCATAAATTTCCATTGGTGCATCATTGCCACTTTGTTTTCTTTTCTTATTTGATCGTTCTGTTGTATCAGTATGTATTGCATAAGAATGTCCTTGTGAATCAGGTGAATCATACGTATCAACTTTTTCGATTCTACTATGTGTTAATCGAGGTGAACTAGTTTGTTTTTGTTTGATATAATGAGGAGTTGGTGGATTTCGATCATAATTTCTTATTTGTTGATGATGATGAACATGATGATAACTGTTGTCCGTATACTTGGTGTTAACGAAAATTGATGAACTTTTAACTTGACGCTGTTGCAGCTGTGGAGCTTCAGGAGAATTGTAGGAGCGGGAGGGAGAGCCTGAATTTGTTGGCATAGTGGTTAGACCACCACCTTGGCCAGTTAACACTGTGCCGAGAATCGATTAAGTTAATTAAGAATAGAAGAATGTCCGAATACCGGGATGAAGAGAGAGGAAAAAAAAAGGCGTATATTATACTGTTGTATATGTACGTGCTTGTATAGAAAGGAGAATATAAATACGACCGTCACCGATAGTGAAAAAAGAATGAATGAGTATCTAGAAAATTGTGATGAATTGACTTATACTAAAAGATAGAGTATTAAAAACTGAACAAAATAAAATATTTGAAATAACTATATATCACCTATTTACTCGTGTTAAATATTCCAAGATGCATGAAATAGATCTTAATGTATGAGTCCATAACAGTATATGTACCACCATTTTCTGCAATGAAAAAATGCTAGACTGAATTTTATACGAGGTGTGTGTTTCTTTTCATTCTTTACAAAATAGTAAAGAACAATGAAAGAAAAAATTCACCTTCATGATAAAATAGAGTTTACATATTTCTCCTACACAGTAGTTTTTGATGAGTTTTCAATAGGAAAAAGAGTAACAATTGTTACCGCTTTTCTTGCTATGACACGATTACAAAGCAAAATAAATGTGATATTCGAAATCAGCTTCACAAACGCCATTGAGTCAAATACAGTTTAAAGGGTGGATTTTCCAGTGAAAAAATAACCATGAAATAAAAACCTCAACAAAATACAACCGTCCGGGAGTAAAACTTTTTTTTTCGTAGGAAAAATATTCCATTAAAATGTATTTGATTCAACTTAGTTTTTATGCTGATTTAGAATATCATGTTTATTTTGCTGTGAAATCGTCGAAAAAGTCGGTGTGTGTGACTATTTTTGAATAACTTGAAAATAAAAAGAAAAGAGATCTGCAATCTCCATGAGTTGAAAGAGCGATACCAGGACTATACGTCTGTGTAAGGCTCATTGAGTTCGACGGGTTGTTTTATGGTTGCTTCCCAAAAGGCTTTTTGAAGAGCACAAATCTGTACCAGATTTTTCAGTACGAATGCTAACTTATCTCAAATAACTCTGATTGCAATCCTCAGCCAAAAACTGGAATTGAAAGTAATACTTACCTATAATTCGTTCAATGCTAACCGTCAAGCTTCAGTGTCAACAAATTATTTTACAGTCAGCAGCTGAAAAATAGTATTTTCAATGGTTTTATTAGTCAGTTATCTATATGTTCTTGGGTAGTTATTTGTAGAGAACGCATTTTTCTGCATTTTACGCATAAATACATTTTTATTGAATTCAAAACGTGTTCTTAAATTATGTGCTCATACACACTAACAACTATGTATTTCATTTTTATTTCATACGAATAGATTGACGATCGATATTTACACATTGAATCGACATGCAACGCGACACTATGTTACTCTTGACTGTGATCGTATTTTGCGCTACTGTTTTTCATACGCAAAGTGCTACGTACAATATTTATAGTACAACTGCAAACTGGCAAACTATTTTGACTAATCTCCTGGCGGGTGACGTTGCTATCATGCACTATGGCATCTATACAACATCGGGCTCTGGCTACTTCCAACTGACTTTGAACGGTGCTCTCAACAACCCGATTATCATCCAAGGTGCACCTAATGAGACACGTCCGATTATTCAATGCCCTCAAGGCGGTGCAAGTGCTCAAAATGTCATGAATATTCAAGGTTCAAATTTTATGGTGAAAGGAATAGCATTTACCAAAGGTTCAAGAGGAATTCGTGTCGGACCGGCTGGTACGTAACTCAAGATTTCTCAATGTTCTTCATTATCTCACTCTGTTTTCTAACTGAACATCTAGTTACAACGAATGCAATTTTCGACAATATTTATATTTACAACACCACTGGAACAGGATTTTCAGCCAACGATGTCGGCAATGAATATGTTAATATAACATTACGAAATAGTAAAATCACAAATACAAATGCTATGGGGTAAGTATTGGTTATGAATTGTCTCTTTGGTACTATCTCACTATTGTTTTTACAAATACAGCTAGTACAACGGGTGAATGCATTTATCTCGGATGTTCTAGCGACGCTTGCCGAATTCGTGATTCTGTAATTGACCATAATTACTGTCATGATACACTTGGTTCATCAGGAGGATCAAGAGCTGGATTTCAAGTCAAAGTAAGCCTAGATTGATGTTGGTTTGTTAAACAACTTTGTGTTTCTTTAGACTGGTTCATACAATGTTATCATTCGTNTAAACGCGAACGGGGTCTTGCTCACTGAAGAGGTCGAAGTAAACTTACTACCTTAGAAATCGAAACTCATGTAAAATTCTCAAAAAAAGTGAGTGCAGTGCAAATTCTGTTGACGAAAATGTGAAAAAAAGGCAAAAAAACCTTGACAAATGGAAACTTTCAGAGATCGTAGTGCGCCCAATAATTGTTCAAAAAGCGAACCAAATATGTTTTTATAGATTATGCGATGTGCTCTTTCTTCTGGACGGATAAAAAACCATTTTCGCGCAAAAAAGGTTTTTGGTCGTAAAACCGGGTTTTCTAGAAAACGGGGCACTGAAGGCCTATCCGTCCAAACCATTGTAATATTTGGGATCAGCATGGTCGATTACCTATAAATCACTAGGATTCGATCAAAAAGCGATTGAACAGTTGGTGACCTTCCCTCGTGAGTGCTATTCAAAATAGAAGATTTTTCTTTTACTGATTTTTATATACGATTGTGAAAAGAGAAGTTATTCTCTCGTTCTTTTCCTTCTCACTGGCATCGTTTACTAATGCGCACAACATGAGAATATTCACGAATGAATAAATGACTTTATTTCGTTTACTAGAAAGAAAAATAGTGTAAGAAAGAGAAGAGGGAAACATATCGAAGAAAGTAAATGCAAGAAGAGATATCGAACAACGCTTATTTTGACGTTCTTACCGTATTCATGGAATCAACAGTAAGTTTTATTTATTTATTTAAGTTTTTTTATGCATTTCAGATTATTCTTTTTGGGGATATATATACCATCAAAAGTGAGCTTTTTTTATCGGATTTTGTAGTGCTACAATAGGGCATTATAAACAGGTAAAAATACAAGTTTCAATTTACCGCTTGAGTTCGAAATAGATATTTTACTAACGCATTTTCGTAGTGAAAAGCTTTCACAACTAAATAGTCATTTATAAAAAGAAGATATTGTCCAGCAATTGAAATTACTGAAACCCTATATTTTATGTCCAAGTAAAATTTAGCGAGCCGTCGTCAGGATCTCATTAAGCGTTGTAGAGGGTAAATCAAGTTTTAAATAAAACTATTTCCTATCAAATATATGGTTTTGTAGCTCAAATAGTTTTATAACACTAGAAAGTCCGCATCGCACTAGTTACACTCCTACATAATCTACCTAAAACTCTAACTTTCTCTCGATATTTCAACATTCATGTTCGTCTTCAAGTTGTTCATAATAAGATAAGCAAAAAATCCAATATCGGGACTAGTTTTATTAAAATATACTTTTTGTACATCTCTATTGCACATTTTTCAATTTATGATTTTGAAAAAAAAATATCTGTTTTTATTTGATTTGATTGTTAATTTCTGGATCATCTAACCATTGTGTTAATTCTTGACATATTTCGTTTGTTATTCCATGTTGATCTATTTGTTGACAAATTGAACGGAGACGTTGTAATTCTTCATGTAATTTAACAATTGCTTTCTCTCGGTCAACAACAAGTTCTTCTAAATATTCGTAACGAAGTTTTTTTCGTCGACGACATTGTCGAGCACTTTCACGACTTTTTTCTAATTGTATATTAGAATCAATTTTCATTGGTTTACGACCTCGTTTACCCATCTATCTTTTTTATTTTGTTATTTAAAATCTACAATAAAAAAAAAACTAATATTAATATTTTGAAGTACCATTAAACTAAAATAATAAAGTCTTCAGAACTAGTAAAATAAATTTATGTTCGAATTTGAAAACGACCTTTTTTTACTGTTGTTATATATTTTACTCCTTTAAATGGTTTATATATTTCTCCATCCATATCAACACGTTGTACTCGTATTCCTGATATAGCTAGTTGATTAATTTTAAAAGAAACATTTAATACTGGATTTGATTCAGGTATTGGTTGACCAGCTACTAGAACAATATTACCACGTATTGTTGGTAAATGTGCTGAATTTTGTGTCTTTGTTTCGATTTGACCAATATTCCAAACAAGAATTTTTTTTATAGGATCAAATGTTGATTTACCTTGAGATGGTGTTAATGTACAATTAAGTACACTTTTTGGCATTGCACATTCAATACTAACATCATTAAGCTGAGAACAAAAGAATTAATTATTATCAAGTATATGAAATTAAAATATCAATACAAACAGGTTTACCCATTGTTTGTTTTGGTTCAACAGTCAATTCAAATCGTCCTGAACTACCTTCACGATATTGGATATGATGTTTTACATAAATTGGAATACATATAGCACTGAAAGAGATACACCAGAGAATGAGTTTTGGAAGTTAATAAATTTTGTTTCTATATTTTATATGATTGAAAATGATTCTTCAATCACAGAAGATGCTCTTTTGATTACGATAATAATCGGTGGCTGATAAAAAATGATCTTCGAGAAGTAGTTTTTAAATATTTTTCTCAGTTGTTATTGATACTTTGGCTTGAATTTTGTGGGACTCAAATTATATTTTACAAAGAACTCTTGTTATACAATTTCGTACAGAATATTATGAGTTATCTCTTGAAATAAAAATTAAAAGAAATATTCAGAAAATACTTATAGGATTATTCTTTATGAATAACTCATCATAAATTAATCACTAAATAAAAAATGGATTATATATTTTATTAGACATACACTAAATTCGAACGTTCCAGTTCGATTTGATACGGATAAAACAGTTTAACAATTCTATTATTCTTATGAATGTTTCCTTATCTCACTTTTTTTTGTGCTTTTCACTGTCTTTATTATTAAGCATTCAAATACAAGTAAAAGTCTTTTATATCATTTCTATCAAATGATCTTCTCATCTGTATATTATATCTGTTCGGATCCACCAAAAGCAAAGATGAAATCTGTCCAAACGTATTGTCTTGAATATTTTGCTGACAGGCATAATAATTAGTAGTTGTATATAGACCTACAGTCAAACCCGATAACAAAATTTTAACATTTCAAACTCATCTCATTGACTATAAGCGATATCAGGAACAATCGCACCACAAATATAGAAGAATGTCTGCCATTGGCAATCACATGAAGAATGATCCTATCGGTGTTAGGAAAATTTAAAGATTCTCACTCATACATTCACAAAGAATTCTTCGAATCATCAATTCCATTACATAAAGAATAATATTTATATATAAATATATATTTCTATAAACTTACTTGTGTGTTGCAATATGATAAGAAATTAATCGAAAATTACCATCAGGTGGAATAAATGAAAGAACATGTTCACCCTGAATATGTGAATTTTTCTATTATCTAACGTAATTATTAATATTGATTAAATTCTTACTTCCCATCTTTTTAATCGTACACATGGATGAAAACTAACATCATCAAATAATCTAGGATCTACAAAATTTAATGTTAAATCTGGCATACCACTTAATTTTATAGAACAATCAATCTAAATTAAACTCAATAACATAAGACGAAAACGAAAATAAATAAGCTCTCATAATTATCAATAACTATCACATATAATCAACAATAGCATCAAATATTTCAATATCTACTCTAAAGAATATTTTCTTACCACGTGATAAATTTTTTTTGTACCTTTATAGATTGTTAATAGTATTAGTAAATTAATAATAATATCTTTGTTTTTTTACTTACATATCCTTGAATTTCAGCCATAACTGTTACACCATGTTGATCAATAATAGCATCGATTTCTTCAATTAAATCAAAAAAAGCTTCATTTTTTCTATAATGAACATCTAATGGACGCCATGGAATGTTCGATAATTGTTTCGATGGAAGAGTCGCACTAGAAATTAATAATCAAAAAACATAAATCTACAAAGTTTCTATTTACTTTGTACTATCTCCAGTAACAAAATTAGTTACTTTACGTAATAAATTTGGTGGTTTAATAAGTTCTTTAAGAATATTTGTTTCTGTAGCTAATGGTAAACCAGAATCAAGCATTTCATCTAATAACTATGTTGAATAAAATTAAAAAATTAAAATTTTATTTAATAAAAAATTAAAATTTCTTTTTACTTCATAAACAATAACATAATTATCTTTGACTGATTTTTCCGTACATTCACCAAAATAATCCTCAAATAAATCCATTATGCGATGAAGAAATTCAATAACAAAAAGTGGTGCAACTAAAATTATAATTTTATTTATTTGAGAGAAATTTTTTATTATACAAAAAAAAACCATATCCGATTATTAAACATCTAAGTAAAACATTTTCTATGTGAATATTATCTTGTATTAGGCTATCTATAGTCCGTCGAAGCGAGTTTTGCTCGAAATGAGATCTTCCAATAGTTTTCGATCAATTGGTTCAAATATCGAACTCAACTCTTCGATTTTCTAATAATAACAACTTTTATTTAAGTTTTCCATGTTCCTTATACACAGTACTTAATAAAACTGATGAGATGCCACGTTGTAAAAGGATACTACTGCCAATAGAAAGATAAAATGGGTTAAAAACTACGGTTTTATATTGGACTTCAGATATTTAGATTTCTTAATGTCCACATATTTTCATTGTTGCAAGGACAAACTAGAACCTACTAGCCATTACAACTCTACGACAGGTCGGTTAAAACTAACCGGTCGAAATCAGTCAGTCGGATTCAAGCTTTGCCCATAAAAAAACCACGAAAATTGAATACAAAATATTTACCTTCATTAGTAAGTACAGCAACAAAATAAAGATTATTTCGATATATATTTATCAAATAATGATGAGGTGTAGCAATAACAGGTGGAATATCTTCAGGATTAACACACTAAAGATTAAAATATAATTTTCTCAAGAAAAAAAAAATACTTTCTATACTTTTTTTTGAGCTTCATAAAAATAATCACAGATTGATTTATTCACAACTGTTTTCCAATGTTTTTCCATAAAAGCATCTCTAAAATAAAATGAAAATAATCAACGATAAATAATGATATTTTTTTCACTTTTATTTTCTTAACATAAACTATATTAATATTTACCCTGCTTCATTAATAATAAATAAACTATGAATCATTTCTTATTTTTTTTTCTTAAATTTTCGATCTGTAAAGCAAACAAGAAAATACAATAAAGTGTAACAAAAAAAAATTCATTATTTTCGTCAAGAAAAAAAAAATGTATATCAGTCACATAAGTATATCTGATCTTAATATCTTTTTTAATAATCTACTAATTAAATGGAAGAGAAAGAGAGAGAGAGAAACAAACAAAAAAAAATCCATGTACAAATATCCACACACAAATAGCAAAATTATCATCAAACAACGTGCGTATATCTAACAGCCAATAAGAAAAAACAAAAATATATCTGATGGTTTTTTTTTCTTTTCATTCGATACGAATGAACACAAGTAAATATATGACTAACAGACAATAAAAAAGATATGTCTATCAAATACTTTGTTTTTCTTTAATTTCGTCATCAATCAAATACCATAGCTGAACGTGAATCAACATTATTAATAATTGTATCCATGGAATCAGCAACATCCAAATCAATAAATGGTTCCAATTTTGATTCAATATGTTTATTATTTATTAGTGATTCTTCAAAATCATATAAATCTGGAAGAAAATTTTCATCATTTTCATCCATACACATTGATGTTGATGAAGATGTTGAACATTCATCACTACGTTGAGATGACGAGATTGAATCATCGTCATTAATATTATTATTTTCTTTTGCTCTAAAAATAAGAAATATAAGTATTACTAATTATAAAGGAGTATAAAGTTTCTTTCACAGAAATACATATTCATTTATTCCTATGCCAATAGATATGAATGAGTAATCACTTTTCAATCATCATTATGTACATCACGTAAATCCTCATGAGCTATGAATACTCTCAAAAATATTCGGACTTTTAGTTTATTGCTTGAGAGATTTTGCATTTTTAAACAGAGACCGATGGGACACTTCAAAAATCTTCTTTGAATATTCATAGCTCATTAGAGGTCTACATAATACGCATAGTCACGGCTCAAAAATGATTAAGGCCCACCCCCCACCCAAAAAAAGTTGATTTCTGTCAAATTTATCGATTTTTTTTAAATAGCGCATGTGATAGAGCATCACGTCCGCTATCGAATGCACTATGGTTTATTTTGTTTACGATGGATTTTAAGGGTTTTACAGATGTTTTCTGAAAACGTCTATTCGAAAAAACGACGTCTTTCGAATAATTCAATGTTTTTTTTTGCGTTTTTCTCGAAATGAGATTTTTTGATTTTACGTTTTCGTGCGTCCCAGATTTCTCCGCCATTTTGAAAGCTAGAAAGTTCGGGTTTGTTTTAAAATGTAGTCAACACTTGGGGCTATAACTTAACAGAGCCCGATTTTTCGATTTCATGATAGATGTCAGATGAGGGGGAAATGTTTGAGAATTTACACCCTACTGATTTCATATCATGACGTAGAAGTTCTCTAAAAACTAAGCTAAAGAAAAATTAAAAAATCGGACTCTGTTAAGTTATAGTCCCAGATATTCGCTACATTTTAAAACAAATCCGAGCTTTCTAGCTTTCAAAATGGCGGAGAAAGCTGGGACGCACGAAGACCTATGTTTTGGACCTTAATATTAAGCTATCTCCTGGAATTCTTAAGATTTCAGGCTGAAATTTTTATCACAAGGTGCCCAGCCCAAGATACATCTACTCTGAAAATTTCGTTAAGATTCGATGTTCTATGGCAAAAATAAAATTTTGAGTGGGGGGGCCTTAATCACTAGAGATAGATGTGCAACAAAATCAACTTTCTTTTTTCCAATATAATACTGACTTAAAAGGAACTGAAATTATTTTACTCATGTTTATGCCATACATTCGGAAAAAATGCTCATACAACTTTGAATATTCGCTAGAAATAATTTTTTATACAATTCTAAAAATTACTCCATTCTAATATCTGTCTAATAATATTTCCATTATATAATCTACTGTTGTTGTCAACATTATGTAAAGAAAGTTTTTATATCTTATAAGAATATTCTAAATCAGTGTTGACACGAATTGACATCGACAAAAACTAAAGACGTCTTACTGACAGATTAAGATTTTGTTTTTTCATGTTATCTTTTTTAGAAGATTAGCTAAGAGTATTTTATGTCTTGGCATTAAACACATTGTACTTATGTCAAAAGTTAACTATGCGAGAGATTATCTACTACAAGAAAATTCCTCATTTTAACCTTGATATATTTCATCAATTCAATTATTTCTATAAGAAATAAACAAGTGAATATAACATGAGAAGAATATTAAGTATACAGTGTGCAAATCAAATATGTACGCTCGTAAATCGTCATATTACGTGACTCTGTATTTCTTATTTATGTTTAATTTTTTCCTACAGTACAAAAAATCTCACTTAAATCTTTATACTGGTTTGAATAGGTGATGCATTATGAGATCAAAGTCTCTAGAAAAAACTATGTCAAAGAGCTTGAAACTCTGAATAACATGAAGACTGTCAAATTTTCTAAAGACTTCTTTTACACAGTTATGATCATCGAAAAAAGCGAAATTTGTTAAATATCTATTGGAAAGAAGCATTGTCTTCTTTTTGGTAATTCTTCAAGAGAAAGTCGTACAAAATGCAGCGACTCTTCATTTTATTCAGAATATTTTATGCTCTTTTTGATAAAATCGTCAAAATTTAATTTTCACAAAGTTTTTTCTAATTTAAAAACCACTGTTTTCAATTTTTTCGAAACTTTGATTTGAAATACATTTCATTCACAATAACATTGCCGATTCAAATCACTATTTGAATTCGTATCAAATGTTTATTATTCTATGATAATATCAACAATAGATTGTTACAAGTTTCATCCGATCATTCCATCCGAAGAGAAACTTTGATTTACGGACCGAAATCATCTTGATCATATCTAGTTGTTCTGACAATAATGACCACTACTGTACAAAGCTAATATAGGATTTTCTGTTTACTAAGACATGATAAGAGAGACAAAACTTATGAAAATAAATAGTGAAAAACCCTATAGTAGAGTATTTGAACTATTCACATCATTATTGTAGTGATTAAGAGACAAAAATCATCAATCGATTACAATAAATTGAATTATAGTTCTATATCTACTTTTAAATTTCATTCATTTTCAATATCACATACTTGTCTCCACAAAATTCATGTAGTTTTCGACGCCATGCTTTAATAGCACCATCAAAACCACGTCGAGACATTTTCGCATATTTACATGGTGTTCGTGGATGTTCTCGCGTACGACATTTTCTGTAATAACAAAAAAACAAAGATATATATAATAACAAAACTGTCATATGTTATAATTTACCGAGATACAGTTGATATATAAGTTTCATATACTTTTGATAGTTTTCCTTTACTAATTTCTTTTTGTCGACGTAAAAGTTCTATGATAAAAAATTAATTAAAAACAATACGAAATAGAAATAATTTCAACCTTTTGGACAACATTCAATAGAAGCAAGAAGTTCTTCTGTTGCTTTATTTTCATGTATAGAAAATTGTTTAAGATACAAAACGAAACTAAACGAAAAAAAAAAAAATTAGTTTAACAAAAGAAATATTTCTTTTTTGAATTTAATCTACCTATGTAATTTTTTTTCTTCTGCTTCTTCATTATCCATTTTATCACACCAATCTTTTGATAAAGATTTTTTTAATTCTTCTTGTTCTTCTTCAAAACTAAAAATGAAGAATTAAGTCTTTTTTTTCAATTTCATATATACAATATTATTTTACCTTGGTTTCGGTGTTCGTAATGATTTTTCATTTGTATCAGTTTTTACATGAAATTGATCATTTGCATTTTCATCAAAATTTGGTTCAAATTTAGCTTTTCGATATGAACTTTAGAAAATTATTTATTATTAAATGAAAAGAAAAAACACAATTTTATTATTTTACTTTTCATCATTACGATTACGTTTTGAACGAAAACGAGCAGGACTTGGTGTTCCACTATCACTTGATTCATAAGCACGAGTTGTTTTTGGTGTATGTCGTAGACGACTAAATTTTATATAGAAATTATTTTATTTTTAGAAAATTAATGAAAATACTTTGGAGTATTGTAAGTGGACATTGTTATTTTTTTTTATATATAAATCTAAATATATTCTATATGCTATGCAATAGAAGTTAAATGAACGAAAAGTCGTTCAAGCTGATATTGGAAAAAAAAAGAAAGACAAAGAAGTTTTCTTTTTTTTTTTATTTGATTGATGTGAATATGAACCAATACAATTTCTTAGAGAAACGTTAATGCAACGCTACAATCAATGATTTATATCAAATAGATAGTGATACTATTGAATTGACCTTCTGTTCTTGTCTTATCGACCATCAATGTTTATTTTCTGAGGGAAAAAAAAACGCGAGAAAAAGAAATTCTATTTGTTTTATATGTTATGTTTTGATCTATTATTTTGTCTATGGTAATTGGATAAATTTACAGTAAGTATAGAAAATATTTGTTTTTATTGTTCGCTATCGGTTTGATATTTCGATGCAAAAAAACGAAGACAAAAAAAAAAATACAAAAAAATCGAATACAAGTTTCTGTATCTTTTTTTCTTCTTCTTTTATTGTCTATTATTCTCTTTTTTTTTGTTATGAAGAGATAGAGGATGATCGTTGACAACTACCACAGGCTTTTTTCTCATTTGCTTTTGTTGTTATTATTATCGTACACCCATCTGCTATATATTTCTTGTCAGCAACAATAATGTACTACTATCTATTATTTTTGCATGCACACACGCAAATATATATGTATATATATATTTAGTTAGTGAGGCAGTCTCAAAAGAGATTATGTATTCTCACAGCACAATTATCAATATATTTATTTATATACGTTGTAAATGAGAACGATGTTGTTCAAATAAATGTCCGAGTGTTTTTTTGTCGCGTCATCGTCTTTATCTGTTTGTTTTCGGTTTTCTTCTTCTTCTTCTTTATTGTCACCTTTAAGTTTTTACGATGATCGTTTGATTTTAATGATGACGAGAACAAAGATGACAATGTATTTAATCGCACTCTTTTATTATTTTCTTATTTTTGCGTCGAACATATCATATCCATAAAGACAATGCTCATGATGTAATACAACATTATTCTTAGTTTTAGATAGTGTCAGTCTTGCTAAGTTATTTCTTTTGAGTATAGGATGTCCTTCAGCAGTAGTGGCAGTTGTTGACAGACACTTTTAAGAAGCCATCTGTCTTATTATTATTATTATCATCCTCAATATTCATATGCTTTTATTGTCATTCATTCGTTAACATATCGGTCACCTGAAACTGCAAGTTAATTGTAGAGAAGGTGCTTTTTCAAGGTTTTTTTTCTTTTTGTATGAACACCCTGAGAGAAGTAGAAGAAGCAAAAAAAAAAAAAACTGATCCATTGTATGTATGTGCAATGTATTGTATCCGAAGGCTAGTATAGAAAGAAAAAAAAAGAAATGAACGACAATGAATGATGCATGCAAATGCATCGACATTGCCGACATTCTTTTACATATGTATCACTCATTTTTAGTTACTCATCTTGTGAAGTTCTGTTTTTTTTTTTTGAAGTGTCATCATTGATTCGATTATAAACTGCATGTTTTATGAGTTTTGTTTTTCATTATTATCCAATAGTAAGAGAAAATATTCGAGTTTTTTTTTTCTCTTTTGTTGTAACAAAATTATTTAAAAAACTACAGATTGATGGTATCATGTTCTCGCTTTCTTTTTCTTTTTATTCTTTGACAGACATATGTAAAATGTATTATGTATATATTATAGATCGAATGCCGTCGACATTACTACGAATATGCAACAAAATAATAGCAGTAACATTAGTAAGTGTGTTTATTTGAGTTGATGATTTATTTTTTTTTTTTTTTTTTTTGACATGATTATGTTTAGACGGTAGTAACGAGATTGTAATTGCAAAATTTAATTATAATTCACAAGAAAATCATGAATTATCAATTGTTAAAAATGAAAGACTTTTATTACTTGATGATTCATGTCTCTGGTGGAAAGTAAAACGCGTCGATTCTGATGAAATCGGGTAAGTAAATAAGCAACAACTGAACAGTTGCTCAATATTAATTAAAATGAGCTTTCTCAATATGTAAAGTTCCTTTCTCCCTTGCTATTAGTTAACATAGGTACATATGTAATCGATAAAAATCATGCATTGTCAATCTCTCGAGGCAATCATTTTGTCATTCTCTCGTACTTTTTTTTTTTTTATTTTAATTTCATTTTATTAATAACTTAGCACATTGTACAATACATCTGAAAATTAAATGGACCCTTAACCTTGATTATGCATTAGGAAAGAGTTCGTTTTTTTTTTCTGTTCTATATGCTTGGCGCATTTTGTCTTTTGTATTTGTGATTGAATGCAAATATCGGATATAATAAGAGAAATAATAATTTATTTTCTTTATTTAGATACATTCCATCCAATTTTGCTCGACGTGAAAAACGTTCATTACTTGATAAAATTATCTCAAAACGTATCAATAAAAAACCAACAATAACTAATGGAACTAATAATGAACGTATACTTTCTTTAGCTCTTGTTAAATTTCGATATGATGCTGAAAGGTAAGTAAAAAAAAGCAAAAAAATCTATTTCTAAACTTGTCTTTTCGTTTTTAGTGAAGATGAAATTAGTTTAAATAAAGGTATATGGGTTAATGTATTACAAAAGAAAAGTGATGGTTGGTGGCTTGTACAATATGAAAAACAACGTGGATGGTTTCCATCAAATTATCTTATTGAAGTACAAAAAGAAAAAAAAAATTTCTTTTTATTGTTTAATATATTTTTTTTTTAGAAAACAAATGATGGTTTAAGTTCTCTTTCATTATTAAATCAATTGAAATATCATAATTCATCATCATCATCTAATGGTTTATCATCATCAAGTAGTGCTAATTCAAATATCATAGACATAAATCATAATCATCAACAAAATCGTCATAATTCTCATCCATCACATATAACAAATACAAATGATGAATATTCATTTGTTATGAAACCATCGAAATTTGCTCATTCAGATGGTAAACTTGATACATGTTTAACATTTAATAATCAACAACAAGAAAAAAATAATTCATGGTCAGCATTAATACAATGTGATAAGACAAATTCAAATTGTACATCACCATCAATATTAAGTAATGAACCATTAACACTTATTGATGGTTTAACAACATTAACATTGAAAAAATCATCGAATGATTCAATATATGATAATGAAATTTGGTATTATGGTTCAATAACAAGAGAAGAGGCAGAAAAAATTTTAAAATTTTATGGAACTGAAAAAGGAGAGTTTCTTATACGAAACAGTGAACGAAAGGTAATATTTAATTAAATGCTAACAATCAAGTATCATATTGTGATAAATCGCTGTTGAAATGAAACTTTACTTATTATCAAAGCTACAAAAGTTTTAGAATGATTCATTTTCTTAGATCTTTCTTCTTGAATTCGAGCTATTTTACAGTATTTTTGACCTGAATTCTCTCACCTATAGAGAGATCTAATACTGACTAGAAAGCACTGTAAATTTCGTTGGAAATCAGCGGTTCATTCAGAAGATAATAGAGCTTCTCCGAAAGTCAATGACCTCGGGACTGAAACACTGGTTTTTCGATCAAATTTTTGGTGCATTTTAGTCAGCATAAGACTTCTCTATAAGTATTCTACCGCAAGTCAAAAAACACAGTAATCTATCTCGAATTTTAGAAGAAAGACTCATGAGTACGAATATTTCTAGAGTTTCTTTTTTTTTAATTTCAATAGAGCCTCGATAAAGAGTAAAGTCTCATTTCAAAAGCGATTTATTATTTCATGAAGTTCCTTCGTAAGATTTATTAATAAAGTTTTTTTTTTTAATAGACTGGAAATTATTCATTAACCATTCGAGCTGATAATGATATAATTCGTCATTTTCGTATTGACTCTACGGATGATAATACACGATTTATTATTGGTAAACGTTCCTTCAAATCAATAAATGATCTTATTGAACATTATAAAATCCATCCAGTGTATGATGCTGATCCAAATAATAAACTTTATTTAACTAGACCGTTGATTATTAATAATTCCAATCATCAATTATAATTCATATTCAATTTACAAAAATAAAAGAAAATTTGTATATAGATTTGTATACATTTATACATATGTACGAAATAGCTCAAAATATAAAAAAGCCTCTAATGTGTTAATTGATGTTTTCTTCTTCTTTTTTTCTCTCTTCTTTTTCGTCTTCTTGTATTTGATAATAATAATAATAATATGTTCGTTGCTTGATCAAGACGAATTATACATTTAATAATAAATTGCATAATATGCATAGAAAATTATTTTGATTCGATAGAATCAATGGATATCTTTTTAAGACTGGAATTAAACAGTCGTATCCCGAAACAGAAATGATGGAATGAACTCGAAGCGTACCTGTTGATTAAAACGAGCTAAATTATCAATGATATCAGTCGAAGAGACAGACAGCCTTGCTGAATGTATTGGTAGGGAAACTGAACCAAGGAGTTTTTCTTGACTGTAAAAGATTTTCATTCAAAATTTGTCTTTTTTTTTTCTTATTAAGGGTTCTAAAATCAAATTGATTTTAAAATCATGAACATCTGAAGAATTGAATGACCGCTTTTGTTAAAACTTCTTGGATATTTTTAGAATCCTATGTTCTACTTATAGACATTATTTTCGATTCGAAAAAAAATCCTTTATTCGATATTCCAGGCCTTAGCTAAGTCCTATGAGAAAACCTTCCGTAATTCTCTCGAGAAAACGTTATAGATCCGAATCATTTTGAGATTATTGTTGTCTAGATATTTTTTCTATTAGTCTAAAATATGAACTCAGAATTGACGAATCAATTCAGGCGCGTCCTTCGTAAATAAAAAGCTAATTCTTATTATAATATACAACATTGAACATAGCTATATTCACATTAATATTCAGTTTTTCTTATGCAAATTTAATTCAACAGAGAATTTTTTGTCAAACCATGATTAATAATTGTAGAATGAAACTTTTATAGATTTTTATACAAATATTGACATTGATTTGCATTATTCACAATTCTATTTTTAATGCAAAAATATTTTTTTATTTTTGCTTTTTAGAAAAAAAACATAGTTGACATATTTTATTATAATTATAACAATCAATAATATAAAAACTGCAGTTTAGTTTTGAATATGAGATTAAATGAAAGTGTATTTTGTTTTTTTTTTGAAAGCCAAAATGTATTATTTGGTTTATTATTCTTATGAATGATCTTGATTAATAAAGGCAGAAATAACACCAGAAAAAATATTATTATAAATTTCGCACCAAATTCTTTTTTTTGTTTGTTTGTTTGTTTTTCTTTCATCTATCAAATAATTGACTTATTCTGTTTATTTCATAACTATATTGAATAATTAATGTTCCTAAGATTTGTCATAGATACGTTAATATTCTGATAAAGAAGCAGTTAGATCTTGTTAAATTGCTTCATTTATCTTGTCGGATCATTATTTTTCAACTTGTCTGAAAAGAACAATGATTAATAATGCTCGTGTATATCTTTTTTTTTCTTGTGCTTAAGCAAGATGCATATGATAAATATAACAAGGAAAGAACAGAGATACGAGAGAAAAAAAGCGCTAAAAAATATAAACAGACTTTAGGCAATGACAAAAAGAAGACAAGAAAACAGATTGAACAGATTTTAGAAAAGCAAGAAAATATCGACATCTGACTTGTCTTATTACACTCAAACACATGTTCGCATACACATCATTGGATAGTGATTTAACATAGACAAGACCAAAAAAAAAAATCATTTTTTGATGTGTTAAAAAGAATATTATCAGCGAATCATATATGATATGGACGGTAAATGCTAACGCCAATAGAAGACAAAGTATAACATGTATAAATAAAATAACGCTAGTTAAGGAAAAAACAATATTTTCTCGCTGATTAAAATGAGATTAAAATACATTCACTTGCGCAATTTATAACTGCGTTTGTTTTTCGAAATTAAAGACAATATATCCTGAGTTAATGTCATTTTCTTTTCTTTTTTTCTTCTTTTTTAAGATGTTGCAGTTAATGAAATTTCTTTTTGTAATTTTATTGATTCAGATCTTGATATACGACTACGATTAGGACTTGGACCTTAAATAAAAATAGAAAATAAATCACATTAAAAAAAACCAAACAAACAAAAGATTTCTTTTTTATTTTACCTATATAACTGAGTAATACTGGTAAAAAGATTAAGCCATGAGCAGCACCGAATGAAACGATACAAATAAACATTCGAAAATAAAATATATGAAAGAGTTGAGAATGTGAAAAACCGAGTACAACAATGCCACCAATTTTTGTTAAAGTTATTCCACTAAATACCTAATAAAGACACAAAGTAAAATAAAAAAAACAACAAAACAAACAACTTCATTCACTTACGGAACTACCCATATAAGCTAGAGCATGTTCAGCCCGTTTTAATCGTGATCGATGAGATGATAAAAGAAAATCTCGACATATATGAGCACAAAATTCAAGTGAAATACCAACAGACATAACAAGATTAACAAGTGATATAGCATTTAATTCAATATTCCATAAATACATCATACCAATCATATCACAAGTAATCCTAAAATAAATTAAATTTATAGAAGAAAAAAAAAAAAATTAGTACTATCAAATCTATTTGTTTTGAATTTTTTGAATATGTTTTGTTTTCAATAAAAATTTAATTAAAACAACCATCAACTTGAATTCTTCTAAGATTATCTTAGTCTTACATGTACTTACTCTTCATCATAATATGAAGTCGAATAATATCTGACAGTTATCTATATATGTTTCCTTGTAAAACATTGTGTAACTCAAATTTTTATATAGAAAAACATTTCTTTTAATTTTAAATCAGAATATTATAGCTTATTAGTTTTTAAATCAATTGAAAATAATCTTAATAATTATAATTCTTACATTGCTATTGTTAATGTTATAATAAAAGCCGAAATAATATCTAATCCAAGTAAAATAAATGTAACAATAAAAATAGCCGTTGCTGATATAGCTAAATTCATAAAGGCATCATGCCAAATAGTTAAATATTGTTCGTAGAAAACATAAAATATACTAAAAATATAAAATCAATAAAATATTTCTTTAATTTTCTTATTTTTACCTATATGGAAATACTTCAATATCATAACCTGCATTTCTTAATGTATGTGTTATATTACCAGTTAAACTATATGCTTGTTGCATAGCATCAATAAAATCATTTGAACTAATTAAAAGACTATGATAACCCATAATAAGACTTGTTTCAACAGAAGTATTATTATCATATAAGTTTACACTACTACCATGTGCTGCATGACCACCTTTAGCACATTTTATATTTGGATTATCTTTTAAGAAAAATGGTAAAAATTCTTGAAATTCTTTTTGTGTTATATTTTCACGTGTTGTACTACGTGTACAAGCATAACAATTTCTATTTGATATTGAATTTGTTGAACAAAATTCTTTTGTATTTTCATATAAACGACAACATGGTGTTGAACCACGATGACGTAACCAATCATAATAATCATCAAGCCATGTTGTACCGATTTGTGCTAATCGAGTTTCAGCTGGATAAAGTGATGCTATACCTAATTGATTTGCTATCGATTGCGGTGAACAACCAGCACTTGAACATATCATATTACTTGCATTTAAACTTGCATAATTAATACCTTTGAAAAAAATTTAGTCAATTATTTATTTTGTTATATTTAAGATATTTTAATTCCTTATAAAAAGTTTATTGAACATTTATACTAATAAATCAAGCTCAGTCAGAACCGTCAACATGACTAGTATAGGTGACTTAAAGGTGTTCGTAATTATCCACATTGAATGATACCATCCATATACGACTGTTTACAGTTAATTTACGGTACGTAACCGGATCTTATTCTGCGATCAGTAACATGACCATATTATTTTCCTCACAATTACGAGAAAATATATTCTGCTTACGTATCATGCTGGGCTGTAAACGACCTTACGATGAAAATATAGATAGATGTATCAATCGACATAAGTAGTTTACAACATAATCTCCACTAAGATTTGATATTTTTCTAGGTGTTAGACAAAATATTCAAGCAGATGAATCGCAGTTAAGTGCCTAGCTAATTGATGAGTCATGGCGACGTAAATATCTTCTTCTTGATGTTCTCGTTGATCTCTTCTTTTTTTCTTATCTTTTGTAACGCTTAGCTGTCTAGTACATAGTAGATTATACAAAAAGTATTCGTGAAACAACAAAAGCAAGGTCATTAGGTCCTTACTTTATTAAATGTTCTATATTATCGTTCTGGTTATTTGCCCTCAATTGCTGCGTTTATTGAATCCTTGTATTGAGCCGTTTTTTATTCAACAGCTCTCAATTACTTAAAAGCTAAAACTTAATGAATTTGTTTCTGCTGTGACCTCTTTTATTATACCTCAATATAGATTATACAGCTAGACATTAGAAGAGACGAGAACAAAGACAATATCAAGAAATATGGACCGAGAAAACGGTAGGAACTTAGGAGTGTACATCTGATAGTCGACTCTGACCAGTCACGGTCAGATACGACCAGAACTAAAAAGTTCAATTACCGAGTCTCTGTTTCCAATCTCCTACTATGTTCCGGGATTTTTCCGTCGGAATAATTGATCTTGAAAGACAAAAATAGCTCTTATTAAATACTTATTATTATGATATTAGTTGAAATATGATCAAATATCGCCGAAATATAGACGATTGTTTTTATTATCAAATCATACTGAGAGATAGGTTTTTAACCTTTCAATAGGGGATTAAAATACTCTCACTATTGTTTTACATATTGCTTTCAAGTATTATTTTATTTACCTGGTTTAATAATAAAATAGACAGGTGGACCAACAGCTAAATATTGTTTTAATGCAGAAAAATATTCAATCATATAAGAATCTTTTGCCATAGTTATATTTTGTTCTAAACCTATTTTAACATATGGTATTAAAGCAATACTTGCTGCAAGCCAAGTAAAAAATATAAATATAACTAATGGTCGAATATAATCATTCATAATAAATGGTGCATAATTATATTTAAATATACGATATAAAAATCCATCAATTTCATTTGAATTATCTTCATTTATTTCATTTTCTTTTATTGTTGATGTTTCAAGAGAATTTAAATTTTTATTTATAGATTTTTTTTTAAACCATTTCCAACGATAAGGACTATTACTATCTGTATTTGAAATTTGTAAACAACAAAATATATCAAAACGATTTTTAATTGTACGTTTTTGATCAATTGTTATTAATGAAATAAATATTGTTATTTGAAGAAGAAAATCAATTAAAACAGACATTCCAGCATATAAACTGAATAATCGTACAGCTGGCATTGGTGTTAAAGCACCAAGAAAAAATGCTATACTTTCCGATACAGATGTTAATAACATAGCTGGACCAACACGACCAACAATACGTCCTATTTGAGATTCAACATCTTCATTAACTAAACGACGATCACGTTGAATAGATTGTGTTAAAATAAATATATTATCTATTGAAATACAAAAAAAAAAAAAACATTTTAATTATTCATATTCAACATATCAATTAGTCTCATATAAGATTAGACACATTCGAGTTTACTATGAAAAATTTATTTTGACCCAGATAAATTTAAATTTCATGAAATTTTCAGTCTTACACCCTAATGTTTTTCGGGAAGTATTCAACTTTGAAAAATCAAAAAATAGTTCATTTCGCATTCTCTATGAGCTTTCATTCTAGATACTTAATTTTTGTTTTTATTGAAAAGAGCATGTCAAGATGCACGACATGACACAAAGTCCTTTTTTTAAATGCTTACTTTTCAATGACAAAGAAGTTTATTGTCCTAAAAAAAAGAAGAACGAGCCGTACATCTTGACATGATCTTTCAAATTGGAAGAAAAAAAAAAACAATTGTTCAAGCCCTATTTTCTCATACATTTATCTTAATTTAAAAAAAAAAATAATTTTTTTAAAATAACTTACCAACTCCAACAGCTAATACCAAAAATGGTATAACTTCAAATATAATTAATGTTGTTGGTATACGCATATAAGAAAAAATACCAATACTAGCCCAAACACTAAGTGCAACAAGTACAACACCAGCAATACCCAATGAAACTTTCATATCAACTAAAATATATTTTATACTTCTTACACGACCTAATGCTATTGCTATATAAAAAAACATAATCATATATGATATAAGAACAGTTTTAATATCCGATTTTGATTCACGTTCAATTTCATCTTCAATTGATCTTTCAGCACGATATTTAACATCAAACCATTCTGATTCATATGTTTTCATATATTGAAGAAAATATTTTTCCCATAATAATGCATTATCAAGTTGTTCACCATGACGTTTATTATTTATTGTTATTGTTATAATAAGTGCATGAGCTTTTGTATAATCTGGTACACTATCATTTATTGGAAATGATCCAAGAACCATATATGGATCAATAGGTCCACCATATTTTGCCATACATGTACGTTGAAATGATTTTGTTTGTTGTGTTAATGGTGACTGCATACATTCAAGATATTGTGATGAATATAATGTTTCATTTAAAAGAAATGTTAAATTATTTTGATGATATTGAAATAATGATATAATAGCACAATGATTATTATCTGGTTCAAGTGGTTTAAAACAAATTGTATTTAAATCAATATTTTTACCAGATTGTTTTGTTACATTAAAATTTTCAATAAATAATTGTAAACGTAATGCATCAAGAAGAAAATTTCGTTCAAATACAGGTCCAAATGTATGTTTTTCTTCAGCATCAAAGGGTGTTTTATAAATAAGATCAATATTACTTTGATTTTTAGGAACAAGAATTAAATGTGCTATACGATAGAATGGTCTAAATTAAAAATAGATATTTTTAATAACACAATAAAAAAGAAAGAGAAATTAATTCAATTATTTACCCAAATTTTTCATCAAAATAAGCTTTTTCTTGACGTGCACGAGAATTATGTGCAACCCAAAGATCAACCGGATCTGTAGTTACTGTATAATAACGACTACCATAACATAAAACAAACAAAATAGCCATTACGGGCATAAGTGTATACTTGGGATTATAAGCACAAAATCGACCAATACTAAAACAAAACAAGATTGTTCTTTTCTATCTAATGAGATTATATGAAAGAATGAAAAATGCATACCCAGTAAATATTTTATGAAGACTTTCATCTATTTTAACACCAAATCGATCTAATATACCATTTTTTTCATCATCAAATGAAGTGTCAGATTCTTCATCATCTTGTACAGACAAAGGTACATGATGATGTTCAATTGAACGATTTAATCTTTCTTTATTTACCATCGATTTATCATCTAATATAAATCAATAAAATTTTCATAATATATAAAAAAAAAAAAAAAAAAATAAAATTCTTACTTGCAACAAAATATTTTCTTCGATTATTTTTTACATTCCATATACACATAAGGACATTAAGAATAACAAACACAATAACAAATATAATATATAATATAACAGCAGCAATTGTTATACGATGAAATCCAGATAATTTTAATCTTAATTTATCTATAAAGGAATCAGCCGATGTAATTATAGTTCCACTTTCGATTTTATTTAATTTTGGACACATGGCATTACAATCCTAAAAAAAAAACAAAAATCAATTTTCAATTCATTTCAATCAAACTAATATTTTATGCATAAAGAGACATTCCGAAGAGATCTATTAGAGTTGTTTCCAGCCATCGGAACTGAATTTATTTCATAATTAGAGTTGAATTTGGACTCTGTGACTAGTACAGACGTCTCACACATATTCTACATTGAAAATGACTTCAATTGTGGGGGTTTTAACAGACTTTTAAAATATTCACTCGGTCTGATATAATTATTTTCCAAAACAATCGGCAGTGTTAATCATAGGGCAATTGAAATTTCTCTATTTGTTTTAGCCTCTTTGTTTATCGCCATGCGCTAATCCTTCCTAAATTATTACAATTGTGCTGAATCTTTTGATCGTAAGCAAAAATATAAAAACTTTAGTAAAATTTTAATAACTTGAAAAGAATGGCGCATGAAAAATAGGCGTTATAGTCTTCTACTAATCTCATCAGAGCCTAGTCAAATATCAGTTTTCGATAGGTGAATCGTAATTGAAGGTGTATCTTCGTAAGTCTTTTGAAAAAATATTTCTTTTTTTTGTTAACTAAATGAATAAATTATTTTTCCGAAAGTCCAGCTGGCACTCTACTTTTCTTTTTTTGTATCACATTTGTTACATTTCTTTTATTCTTAATCGCGCTTTGTTGAATTGTCAATATTTAAGGAACCAATCTCGATAGTTAATAAAAGGTTACTACAATCTAATCGTAAAAATACTTTTTTTAATGGAGCATATTGTCATTGTTTGATAAAGGATTTCAATAGAAATACTTTTGTACCTATGATAAATAGCGCAGTTAGAAACAATCACCAAAAGTGATTTATCGACTTTCGCGAATTGATATTATAAATATATCGAAAAAGATCTAAACGTCAAAATGATTTGAACCTATTAATCTTGTGGAGATAATAACGACATTCTTCCTGAAGTATGAACGATAGACAGAGAAATTCAGCAAATGATTTTTTTATCTGAAAATTTCATTGAAAGAAATATTTGAAGAATTTACTTTTTTTGATCATGAAACTTGAAGAAATATGTTCAAATCGAAAGAATTTTATTGAATTTTCTTGTTAATATTTCATTCTATAATAAAACTTTTGCAAGAGAGCTGTCGCAACTCTCTAAGGACAACTTGTAGAAATGGATTCTTTTGGGATTATTTTCATCTAGCTATTATATACGTTCTAAATATAGATTAAAAAAAAAACTAGAAAATAATTTCGGATCCAATACTAACTAATGTATTCAAAAAATATTTTCATTTATCATTGTACCGAATACATCATCTATAATATATTTTTCTGTTTTTCTTCAATTGAAATAAATTTTTTTTATTATTAAAAAATGTACATGTCTCCTTCAGATTTCAGATCATGATTCTGAACAACGTATATCAAATTTCGTAAGTGATGCCTACTCGGTAGGTAAAGAATGTCTATTGTCTGTCAAATAACAGAGATCGTACATGACAGATAAATTTGGATCATATTACATACGAACATGATTAATGCATTATATGCAACAAAATATGAGAAAAATAATAATAAAATATTCAAAATAAAATTCATGCAATATTTTTAGATAATAAATCTTCTATTATTCGAATTATTCTTAAGATTAAAAAAAATAATAAACAATTTGTTACATACCATACAAGTACATTTTTCTCTTGAAATATGTGGTAAAATAACCGGTTGATCACAAGTAAACATTGATTCTTGTGATGGTTGGAATGTTCGATCAAGTTCTGCATCATAATAAGTTCCATTAACAAAAATAAAATCAATTTTAAGTGGTGTTTGTGTATTATCTGCACCAATATATTTAAAAAGTTTTTTATGATCACATGCACGATTTATTGATCCACAAAGGATATCAATTGCATATTGAAAATTCATACGAACACTCCTTTTAAAATAAAAACAAAAACTTTAAAAAAAATTTAAAAAATAATTATTTACCAGCATGATTCAATAAAATCATTAGCTTGTTTTTCTAATACATAATATCGAAGTTTCTTAATAACGCTGACTGTTTCAATTGGTTTTGATGTTACTTTTGTTTTGCCTTCTTCTCCTTCTTCATCTGGATCAACATAGTCTGGTAAAGCCCAATCTTCTCTTAGACTATCATCTGATTTAGTTTCTTCATTTTCATTCGGCCGAGTTATATTTATAATTTCTAATGGATATGCAAATTGATCTTGATTAGGACTACAAGCCATTTCACAAAATATATGCAATAAATTAAAATAACATGATGGACAACGACCAATTAAATTATCCAACATATATCGAAATTTTTGCATTTCAGCTAATTGTTTACCATCGCAACATAAATTAGGTGAAATACCTAAAAAAATAAAAAATCTATTTAAAAAGCAAAAAAAAAAAAACGAACAAGAAAATATTAACCTTGATGTGTTGCCATATGAGGACACATGTCATTTAATAGATGAATCTCACTTGGTGGTAATGGTTTTGGTTCACCATGTAAATAAAGTTGATTATAACCAGGACGTATACTTTCATACCAAATACAATTTGAATTAATAGTTGGAATTAAATAAATAAATATTAAAATTAACAATTGATACATGTTTTATATATTTTTTTTTTTATTAGTTTTAATCAAAATATATTATATCAACTGTTATGAAGGTTTTATAAATATATGAATGACGTGAATCAACTCGTCAAAATGATTATATTAATAACTAGCGGTACAATATAAATGAGTAAGCTAGAACATTTTTTTTTAGTCGAAGAAAATTATGGTTTGTAATATTTTATTTAGCCAGTATGGTCTCATCATCAGCTGTGCCTACTACGCATTCATCATTCTCTTGATCGCCATAAAGGAGCCGACCAATCAGTATCGAGTCTAAACATCGAACCATACATTTCTCTTATTCATTTCTTTGTTACGTCCGCCCTATAGCTGTTTCTCCTCTTTCCTATTCTTCTTCTTCGTCTTCGTCTTCCTCGTCTCTTTTTCTCGATTTATCCACCCCCGACTGTCTCGTTATTACGCATAACGTAGAACTCATTGTATTTCTTTTTTTCTTTCTTCTATATTCTTCTGTCAAATAGACATAATCTTAAATCCTTGTTTTGTCAACATTAGCAACAACATATATATTTATCATAATGATCACCTCATTTTTTCATTTTTTTTTTTTACAATAGAAAAAAGAAGAATGTCATGACCAGCAATAATATTTGGATAAATAGTATCTCCATTGAAATAGTTCAATGGCACAATATCTAGCGTCATATTCCATATATCAATAAGATGGTTCAATTTCAATATTGTACTTCGACTATATAACAAAAAAAAAAAAGAATTATAAAGAGATTAAAAGATTTGTATATTATACCTTCGTTGTTCTATAGTTCCAAGAAATTTTAAAGACGAATGACCATATGTAAAAAATTTATCAAGTAAAGAAATTATTGTTTCAAAATCTAAAATTAATATATATATAGTTTAAAGAAAAAGCAAAAAAAAATTGAATATCTTATTTTGTTTATGTCTACCTTTCTTATGAAAAAATATATCTGAACCAAGTATAATATCAATATTTGATGGAAAATATTTTTTAATAAGTTCATCAATACTTTGTTCATTATACCAATCAAGAAATTCGATATGAATACGATCAGCTATCATAGTATTTAATTGTATTGTTTCACGTATTAATGATAACCATTTATCAATTTTAGGATTATCACATAAGATTATATTTTGAGCACCAATTTTAGCTGAAACTAAACCAGGCAATGATGTTCCTGCACCAATCTTTATCAAAAAAAACAAAATAATCAATTGAATTATATAAATTCGAAAAGTTTTTCTTTTTTATAAAAAAAAAAGACACCTCTAGAATATTTTTGCCTATAAAATCATTTCGATTATACCAAATATATTGAGCAAGTATAGGTGAACATGGCCAAAGATAAAGACCATATGATGAAGATGTATCAAATGTCTACTTAAAACAAAAAAAGAATAAACATTATTATTTTTTTCTGTTCATTCATATATTCAATAAAAACACCTCTAGTATATTAACAGATATTGATTTTTTATCATTATTATCATCAGCAAATATTAATTGACGATTTTTATATAAAGATGTCATACTAAGACTAATTATGATATAGTTTTATTCATTTTTATATTAGTTTTTACTTTGTTATACTTAAAATAGAGAAAAGATATTTTAATTGAATGGTTAATCAATCCTATGAAAAACATCGAACCATTGACAAAATTTACTAGATGTCGTTCATAGAAAAATCATCTAATGACATAATACATCATTTTTTTGTCTACTCTTCATTACAAAAGTTAATAAATGAACATAAGTTATATAGAATTGCTACATATAAAATTTTAATGTTATTTATTTTTAATAATTTCAATTGTAATAGAAGAACATTCCATTTATTTTTTGTTTTTTACTTTTGTCTAACTAGCCATTGCCTTGAGACACGTGTATGAATGTAAATTATGTGATTTGTTGATACCTCTGATTAAATATTTTATCATCCATCGTAAAAGCCGAGGCGGTGGTATTTCTTTGAAGATTAAATAAATTTGTCTGGAATTTGTGATT